GAACTAACGCGTCCCCCCCCCCCCCCCCCCCCCTCGAATCAAGACGGAAAGCGCAGGACGCAGGGGCAGAGCGCACGATGCGCTGGCAAGGCGCCAAGGGCCTTGCTCCGCCTGTGCGTCGCGGGGAGCGCGCTCATGCGACGGCTTCCTTCTCGGTTGTCGGGGCGACCTCCGGCCTTCATCCATCTCCCGCTCTGTCTCCAGTTCCGTCCTCTTTACGGATTCTAATGTATGGAAGCATGCAACGTCGAAAGGTGGGAAGGGTGGGCCGAGCTCTAAATTTTCCCCAGATGCAATCCTTTATGTCTGATCGCTTGAGAATGCAAATTTGATGCATGGGTCGACGCTTCCGTGTCGACATTGTAATGTCGACTTTGACATGCTATGTGAGAGGAGCCCCATCAGGCTCGATCCAGTTTTAATTTGCCTAATGATTTTTTAGGGCATTATCTATTACCTTTCACATCGAAAATATTATGTTATATTGAAATTATAGAAGTAAATGCAGCGTTTTATCTCCTGCTCTGATAAAAAAAAAGATATGCTCAAGAAAGGTTCTGGAACTCACCTTGGAACTGCAAAGTAGCACTATCTGGTAGACGTTCTGAGCTTGAATGCTCACGTACAATTTTAGGACCATTCAATTAAATGGATACGACTGACAACATTTTTTTTAAATTGCGTTTTCACACGTTCTTTAAAATTTTTTAAAATCATTTAAAATCATTTTTTTTTAAATTTATTTATATTTTTATATTTTTAAGAGACCCTGTTTTGCATTGCACTTAACCAGAACTTCTAGTTATATTTGTCACCTGACACTTATGACAAGACTTTATGCAGTAAGCCTTACTCCTAAATAGATGATTTTCATAGGGATTAAAATTTCGAGGGTGATTAACATTTACCCCAACACCAAGGACAAATGTGTACCTCAGACCTTTCTTCATTTAATTGATCCTCAGTCCATGTGTCTTGGGATGATCTCCAGTTGAAATGGTCTCCCAACTTGGCTGCAAAAGAGCATGTATCTATGCCTAATGGGGTTTGAATGTGAGGCTTCCAAAGATGAGTTTACATGGTATACACCAACCTAACTTACTACCTACGTTAGTTCCAGGCCTATTTCCTTCAAAGATGGCAAGAAAGTGACAGGGTAGTATGAGTCCATGCAGTTTTTTCAATTTTCAGATCAATTGATAGTCTTTGTTAGCAGACACCTGCTTACACATCAAATACACTTCAGTGAGGCAAAGAGCACAGCAATACTAGCTCAGTGAGTGGACCAACAGCAAAGGCTTTTTTTCCTTTGAGGCCATGCCAATGAGAAGACACGGTGGAAAGATTCACGGGGTGAGGTTTATACGAGGGATGTCTTCTATGTTGTGTATCACAAACTGCTGATACATGGGAATGTACATACTGATACTTTCCAATATCCAGAACTTCCTTGTAAAGTTGGTGATTCCTATCCAGAGAACACTGCCATTGAGGTGATACCATTGTTGGAAATCTCTAATCACTGCAGCAGCAGCATTCCATGGGTAAGAATCTTGAAACACTGCAAGGAATGGGAACAAATTCAAAAGTAGCTGCATTTGCACTCCCATGCTTGTTTCATCAGCAGCAGAACACAACACAGGAGGCATTACTTTTGGGGCATCCCCCATATAAATACATGAAATTTCACAGTGAGTGAAACAAAGGAATACAAAGAACAAGTAGTTGTTTGACAATTTTCATTCCCATACCACAAGAGAACGAGAACATTCCAGATGGCTTGAAAGGGACATAAAGGGTGAAAGTAAAGGATCATGAAAGACAGACCAAAAACATTACGTTTCGGCGAGGAGGAAACTTTCACAAGAGCACGCCTAGGGGAGAGTGAAGACATCTATCAAAATCTGCACTAATATATGATTTCTTGATGTACACACAGATCATACTCTAGTCTTGCATGAGCATTCTGAGACAGCTCATAATGGTTAAAAATGGGGTACACACAGAATTTCTCATGCATTTGAAAATTAGGACTATTTACAAGGCAGACAACCACTGGAACATCGTGGAACAGAGATGATCAGCACAAGGGGAAATCGACGGACGAACATGCCTCTCTCATGGATGGAGCTGTGTCCAGTGACTTATGGCGACTAGACTTCGCCCTTTCGCTCAGAATGGGCAAAATACTCAGCTTGACTGAATTGGCACTAGTTATGGGAAGATGCAATGCAAAGGTATTATCACACTTCCCTGCAGGTCAAACCATCTTAGGGGACATAAATTTCACATCACTTGCATAGAATAGAAGGCCATCAATAATTTTCTAACAGGCTTTGCTAAAAGAGGAAAAAAGCACATACATGCAAAATCAAAATCAGAATCCAGACAGGGTGTGGTGTGAAGATTAAAAATCCAAGAATTTATCCTCAGAACACTCAGTACAAGTAGTCAAAAAAAAAAAAACTTCATTCTTTTTTTCTTAAACAATAGAGATTATTATTTTGGCACTGTCCAGCCCTAGATGCCCAAACCAATGTGTAACATGATAAGCACAGTAAAGTATAGGAAATTATGAATGCAGCCCTGAACAAGCAACAAATATTTTATATATTGAAACCAGTTGGCCTATACCAAAATGTTTCTTCATATAAAGTACCACTGCACAACAGTATTTCAAGCATGATTAACTTATCAGTCAAGGACCCATGAGTTAAGTAGTAGTAGTAGTAGCTGTAGCAAGAGAAGCTCACATGTAGGTTAGACTTCAAATGCATTTTCGAAAACACATCATGCAGTCTAGAATTCTATAAACTTGCATTGATTTTACATAGAGTAGTTGATTTCAAGCATATGAGAAACAGCACAATTGCAAATTTTGCACTTTAATGGGAATTCATCCCCAGCATGATGAGCAACGGCTGGCAGTCTACGCATTGCACTCCCCGCTCCTACTGTCATGGGATTCCTAGCATTTCTCTTTTTTGGTTTGTCTAGATTCCCTGAATTGAGTTTCAAGACCCTTGCATTTAAGATCTGCAATAAAACACTGCTTGCATAAGCACATAACTTTAAGTTCACTTGAGACAAACAACAACGAATAGCATGGAATGTCTAAGGCTAGATGGATCCAACAAACCTACTGCACTACCGACCGGGAACTGTTCGGAGATCATCTTGAAAGACAAAATCTCCCCCATTTCTCTTGCAGCTTTCCCCTTATTTGCATTTGAAATAGAAAAACCACCTGATGCAAAGACCTCAATTTCAGAGCTCATGTAAGACCAATGGAAGAAGGCACTCAGGATATGAAGAAAATCAGAGCATTTCATGCAATTTTTAGAGCATGAAACATGATTGCAGGTATGCAATCATGACTGACTAGTGGAGGATGAATGGCCATTACATTGACCAGCAATGGCAAATGCTACCCAATGAATATGTATCACTTATCCTTTCCGGTGATGGCATCGCCGACAGGGAGATTTCCCCAAAAACAACAGAATATTTGTACATGTGAAAACAGACCAAACTGCACTTCCTGGAGGATTTAATCTTGCATATCACACTGGGGGATGAAAAACTGATGCAGCTAAGACTGTTTGACCCTATCACCTTTCAAGGCGCTTGCAGCTGCATTGGCTGTAACGTTGGAGATGCCCCGATGGATTGCTGACACTGCTGCTCTTTCTGTCCCCGAGTCCACCACTTTCTTGTACACTGGCTTCAAAGCCTGCAAAACGTGGTTGTCTATAATGGAAAATACTCTGGGAAGCACTGAAATTAGATCTAAGAGGCTTCTGTGACACATAGTGTAACAGAACCACAAAACTTGCCTGTAGCAATCACCAGAATAAACAAGGGGGATTTCAGGAGATGGGATTAGAATCTGAATCCAACAGATTTTTACAAGGAAGACCAGATGTTTAGAGATTAATAGAGGAGATTCTGCTGATGTCATTGGGAACTCCTATTTCTTTATTGCTGTCTCTGTCCTCCCTGTTTTTTTTTTCTTTTTTTTTTACAGGCACACGTTCACTCATCTGCTTGCAAAACCTATTGCATTATACTCCGCAATGCTTCCTTGCTGCTCCCAATTGGAGGGGCACACCTCCAGAAACTGGATTTAGATGCCTAATTCCAAGGGCCTTCAATATGGAGACCTGACCATCTGTAAAGCAGGAAAGTGATCAGGAAAAAAAAAAAGGCTTGAAAAGAAATGTTCCCTGCTTTGTCAGTGTTGGCTGTAGTGATGTGCAAGTTGAAATGCAATTCAGAGGCATGCTTAACATTCCTCATTCAACACTGCCTCTGATATAAAAAAGGGGGGAGTGAATTTGGATCATCCAAATATTCAGCATGGGATATACTATGCACAAAGTAAAATGGCTCACAAGGATGCTAGGCCTATCAGCTCCAGCTTCATGCCATGAGTTCCATAAATCATTCTTTTGAAGTTATATTTGGTAGTGGAATTTGATCTTATTCATAGCTTACCTTGTCCCAGAGGACATTTGCTGTGGAGTCCACCATTATTCCAACATCCCTGGCCTCCCCAGAATACCTGGAATGCAATGTATCATGTACTGAAACAAGGAAATATAGAACAATTCAAAGGCAGCACAAAAATTAAGAAGAAAGACTTACCTGGCATATGCCCAGAGAGCAAGTGCAATGAAAGCAACTCCCATCACAGTGTTGGCCATGGCAAGAAGCATGTTCAACCCCAAGAGGTTGAACGCGGTCGAGAACACGTACATCACCATGGCCACAACAAAGAGGATGGCTGGGGTTCGAGCTGCCTTAAAAATATTCTTGCTTTCATTGTGTGCCTTGTACTTTTCAAACATATCGTCCACTTCCTATTGAAAGGTAACAACATGTGATTAATGAGGCAAGAAGTAGAGGCAAGTGAAGGATAAAAACAAACCTTTTCCAACATGACTTGATACATCTCAGAAAATTCAGCTCCACCCATCTTCCTTGTGCTTTGGAAGGTCTCAATTGCACGGTCTCGAATTCTGAGGTGCTCATTAGTCAGCTGTTCTTGATTCATATATGGGCGCTCTCCTCCACAAACACAGTCCATCAAGCTCATGTACAGCTCACGAGCTGCATTCACTGCACTCAAATTGTTGGCTTCTGCTGTTGCCTGATGGAACAATTCAACAACTTTGAGTAACCTGGCAGTAACTAATTGGATCACAGCCATAATGCTTTCAAACATCTTCAATTGCTGCATTTCAAAGCTGCATCTCATGAAGACAAGTTCGCTAAAAAAAAAACAAAAAAACAAACACCTTAACAAAACTCACCTCAAGCATGGTCTTTGGTTCAGGGAGCTCACCACCCTTATAGATCTCAATGTATGCCTTGAAATAATGCAATAACTCCTTGCACTTGATCTTCCTGCCTCCAATTTCCTTAAGAATCATATTCTTTGGAGAAAGAAGCATTGGCACCAACTCCTTCAACTGCCTTTGAAACTCTTCATCAATATCTATAAAATAATGCAACACCAATGATAACATAGATATGCTTTGGAGGTTCAACTGCAGTTAGAATACCAACAAGAGCCTTCCACAGTGAAGGCAATCTAATGAATCACTCAATAAGAGGGACTGACCTGTCAGGCAGCCACAAAAGTTTGGATCAGTGGCCACTTTCAAACCAGGGTGAGGCATCAAGAAACAATCAATTTTGGAAAAGCATGATGAAATGTGCTTCCTCAGCTTCTGAAGTTCTTCATGCTGCTTGTCTGAAATCTACAAAATGATACCAACTGTAGCCCCTTTTCTATAGAAAAGTCTACAGTCTCAAAAAAAAAAAAAAGGTAAGCCATTTGATTTTTTGGAATATCTCCAGCCTTTTTCATGAGAACCCCTTGAAATCTCAGATAAATCAGAAAGATTGAAAAGACTCCTGTCAAGTTTAAAAAAATCTCAACAAGTGATTCATTTTGCAATAACTTTTCAAAGTTGAGACATCAAAAATAGCTGTCAACAACCAATATGCTCAATGCACCTCAATGGACATCCCTTCCAGGTGCTGCAACAAAACTGAGCACAGGCAACTGGCAGTCTCAGTGAGGAAACTGAGTTTTGATACTTCTCATCTTGTGTTATCAAAGTTAATTTGTGTTTTTAATATTTGATTATCATTTCCTAAGGCAAAACTCTATCATTACTTTTTAAATGTACAGTAGTTAATCACAGTATTAAAAATCACAAAGAACATCATGGGATTCAGAGAAGAGGACAAGCACTTGAGCAAAGGTTTGCGAGATGACAGGCTGCAGTTCTGATTGGTTCATTATGGGATTCCCTGAAAAAAGCTAGCAACATCACAATTGTTAAAAAAAAAAATTGCTGAAACTGTATTGACTGAAACAATGTGGAAATGACAGGTTACACTCAATTTGAACTGTGAAAATATCAAGGCTATGGAAGAATCAGTTCTCAGCTAAGAAAAGGAATATAGTTCAAATTCATGCTGAAGGTGATCATTTTTAGTACAAGCTTTAAGTTTTTGAGATTGGTCGACATAAATTTAACAGAAATCTTCCTTTTTCATCTGATTTGTGGAGTGCAAAAGAGTGTAATGCTCATAAGATATCAGTAGGATATTTTAAAAATATAAATAAACTGCCAGCCTCTAATAAAAATAAAAATTCAAAGGAATTGTAATACCACATGATAAGAGATTTATCGGAACCAATTTACTGCCAAGACTGCCTGCTGCCAGAACTGTCATTTTGGAGCATGCCAATGTGATGCACATGTAAAAAATTAACATGTGTATTGCTCATTTGCTGCAATTTTTTTAAGCTGCAACTTTGAAAAGTTATTGCATTTGAAGCACTGGGTAAAACTCTTTTTCACTTTGCAGGAATCTTTTGTTCACCTGAAATGCCATGTGCAAAAATGTATGAGTCTTGCATGACATCAGATGGAGATATACAACTATGAAAAAACAATTTGTTCAGCCCCCATCTGCAGTAACCTCAATGGCATTCTTCCTGTGCAAGATAAGACATAAGATAAAGCAAAATGAAACTCTTTGTTATAAAAAAGACTTATGATACAAGCCTAGAAAATAAAGTTTACCAGTAACACTGTGAATTTGAGGGTGACTCATCCTTTCTGGGACAACCTGAATTTAGAGACCTCTTGAAAGGATATGATTAATTTCATACCTGAAGCCTTCGATCAAGAATTTTTTTCCCTCCTTCAATCCCATAGGCAGCTTCATATGGATAGCTCCAGTCTCTGACAAGGAAGTGCAGCCTTTGAAATGGTCTCTCACCACAGTCTTCCAATGCCAAGCGACCATACTCAGTGAACAGCTGAAATGGGAGTCATACATTTCAAGAATGTTGCAAGCAATCCTTTGCTATTTTACTTATGATCACAAGTAATGTACCTGAAGGTGCTGCAGATCATCTTCCTGAATGTTTTGAGTGAGGTTATAAATTTGTATGGAGCTGAGCATGGTACTGAGGGCAAAGATTGTTGCACAATCCCGCACTGTGCTTTGGCTATCAAAGGCTCCTTGGGTGTCCATCAGAATAATACAGGTCTAGATAATAATTATAAAAAAACATTTTGTTGAGCCTCTCCATTCTATGAATTACTGAATCTAGAAGATCCAATAGGAAGTACTCATCATTGTTTATATACATAAAATATACCTACCTCTTCACCATTAGGAAGCTTCATAGTGAAAACTTCATCCCAAAGATGGATCCCAGTGGTTTCTCTTTCTGCACCTCCTCGCCATGAGAATCCTGTGAGAGGAGAGTCACCATCTCCAAGCCAATCAGGAGAGCCCTGAAACAAAATACCATGTAAGACAAAATCAAATATCTTAGGCTTACCATATGCCCACAGGCATAGCCTTGCATGGGTTTATGAGCACCAGCAATACATTCTAAAACTTTAGCTTCAGCAAGTTCATTTATGTAAGCCAGTTCACAATCCAATCATTCAATCACTCATTTCATGCCTCTCACCTGAGCCCTCAAGTATCGAATGAAGAAGTCCAATAAAAATGACTTCCCCTTCCTGAAAGCCCCAGCAACAGACACCACTGAGACATATTTGTCTTTACAATGGTTTTGAAGCAAAACACGCTCCAGCACTTCCTCATTTAAAGTGAATGAATGGTCACCAGTGGGTTCAATGACAAAGGCTGCCTTCCCTTTGCCACCTATTTCAACATCATCTGCACTCAATTTTGGAGCCAAACCTTTTTCATCCATCTAGAGAAACCACACAAATCTGAATCAAGTCAAAGGCAAGGGAAATACTACCTTAGCAGGCCATTACTTGTTTTGTGCACACAAGGAGAGCCTCCACAGAATGCAGCAAAAATGTTAAGTTGGATTGGCAGGTAATTTTGGAAGTGAGCTCACTATACCTGATGAGTCTGCTCTGCTAATGGTAGGTTAAGGTGACCAGATTTTTCGTGTCATGAAAGCAGGAAGCCCATAAATACTTATGCTTCCCTTACCTCCTACAAAAGGATATTATTGTATTTCTTGCACTGACACTTATTGTATGAACATGATATAGAACTGCTTTGTTCATTGGGGGACATGAGAACAGGTGGTCTGAAAGCGGAATGTCCCATCTAAATCAGGTTATCTGATCACCTTGCCCTAAGTTAATTTGCCTCAGTCTAAATAGAAAAATAGTAAAAGACTAGTTGTGTCAGCAATTAAGGAAGCTAGGAAGTTGAATATGAATTCATTCATAAACCATTGCCCAGCCCTAAGATTACTTTTTGTGTGATTGGCTAGCCTAAATTCAACTGTGATCATGTGATTGTCAACTTAACAGGCCTAAAAGTCAGGTCACCCAAGAGCAAAATATGCCAAGGAATCCTGTTTGTCAGTTGCACTTGACTTTTTTTTTTTATTTCATCCTGAAATGCCAAATGTATGCATCCTAGACCCAACTTTAGGCATATAATTAGCAGCTTCATTTGATATACTGGTTACTTCTATCCAAGTTCAATTTTTTTCAGGGCAGTTCAATGGATATGTTACCTTTCCCATCAGCTACCCAATGGTTGTCAAAGTAAAAAAATAAAAGTCGCATCACCTCTTAATGAGAGGCTTTGGCAACCCCTACAAGGCTTCCAGGCCAAGGGAAAGTGTCAAGTTAACTCAAATGGAAAAGGAAATTTTAGTTAATCACTGCCCTCTGTAAGAAGATATGGTGTTATGGATTGAGCTCACAAACCATGTGTTCAGGGTCAATTATCTTCCACAGGTCTTGAGAAAGAAAACATAATGGTGTCTTCCTTCATCAAAAGATAATGATGCTTAATGTACATTTGGTACAATTATGCTGTTCATATCAACATGAACTCTTGGTTACAAAACGTAATTTGTGAAGGCACTGTAACAGCACCTCAATGTATGTAATTTGATGGTCTTGGTTCCTTTTAACCCTTGTCGTGCGAAGGACACAGCATCTGTCTCAAATATATTTTTTTATGCAAAAAATATATATATTTTATCATCATCCCCAATGAACTTTGCCATGCATTTTCGATTTTCCACTTCCATGGATCCAATAGTACTATATCAATATAAAAATGTTGAGTCTTTCTGAATTCGTCATAGCAGAAAGTGGTGTACGAAGTTAACCTAAAATCACTGAGTGTCCAGGCCTATTCAGGAACGGAAGAGTTCTTACAAAGTTCTAACGTTAGCCTAAATTAGACCAAGGACGAAGTCCTTCGCGAGTTAACTTCCTCAATTTCAACAGAAAAAGCAGTCACAGCCAAATGAAAAAGGTCAGACTCGACTGAAAAGGTGCCAAATCGTTACTTCACCAATGCACTACAGTGAATTGATAATCAACTTGTATCGCACTGAAGACGGGCTAAATGCTTCTTTAAAAAATAAAAAATCTCCTCACCACCTTGAACTCTCCTAGAAATAACATTCACGATTTTAACGGTGCGATGAATTACTTTGCATATCACTATAGGCCCAAGGCGACCAATCGAATAAAGCCAGTCTAGCATACATCCTTCCCTCTCCTAGCAGTACACTGCCAGTGCATGCATACTGCACGTCCACGCCACACCTAGCTAAGGTTGCGAGAATGGTAATGGTTTTCATATGGTTTGATCTGTTGCGCTTTCTTGAAGCTTTCAAATGCAGAGATCTCCGATTAAAGTAATTTTTTTTTATTTCGATAAAAAATTATCTACTAGCTGTACAAAGCCAGAATTCTTAGAAGTGTAATATCTAGCTCAGTCTTAAGTAGTCACCGACGGGCATCTATGGTAGAACCAGACTATACCGTTGCATATCTCGCCCATGTGCTAACGTCGTGAAACGTCGATGCTTGTAATCTAGTAACCTGAATTGATTTCGTCTTGCTTGATTTAAGAAATGGTAAGGCGCCTTTCACATCGAGGTGTAGATTTGGACAGAGATATTTGAAATTCTCTGATGCTGTTGCACTTCGGCCTTTCCTCTTGGTTTCTTTCTGCAGGCTGAAAATGTCAGAGTTTGTGACATCGACCCAGAACTCAAGGAACAACTGCGACAGTTCAGGTTCCGCAAGGATCAAAACAATGCAGCTTTGATCAGTTAGTACCGCATTTTTTTGTTCCAATAGCCTACTCTAACCTACTTAGGCTGCAATACATTGTTAATTTCGCTGAAAACCGAAAAGCAATTACTCCACTGACGAAGTGATCTTTATTTCTACAACAACGACAATATGACGTTAATTTCGGAGTTATGACAATGTTGAAACTGCCTAACATCATTCCACCATGAGCTGAAATTGAAGCCAGCAGCATTGCCAATGTAGGTTTTGGCCAAGGGCTTGGATCAAGGTGTCCTTATAGCTTAAAAAGTTGTGGCTCAACTTTAATAGGCCAATCATGAGAATGGCTCTTGAGGTTGAGGAAAGGAGACAGCACCTCATTTAATCAATTTTTCAGTTTTCACGTTTTCTCCTATTTTGGCCATTCATTCTCACAGGTGCCATCATCCAAATTGCTGTTGCAATGAAGCTGCTCAGAGTTTTGAGGTGACTCCCACTGGAGTTTTCAATGGACAATTGATGCCTCAGGCTTCGTTGTGAGCATTCATTAACTTCCTTGCGTCAGTGCATTGGTAAGATAAGTTACTCAATAAGCTCCCAACTCAGAATATTTTTTATAAAAGAGTGCAGCATATTCTGTGCCTGTTCTGTGAGAGAGTCACAAAGTAAAACAATAATCTGGAAAGAACTCTCTTGCTGAGGAATGTTGGCTTTCTCTCTATGAAGCCATTCTTTATTCAGTTGTAAACATAGGGTTCCTTTTTCTATATATCGGGCATTGAAGGCAGCTAGTTTTTAACATTTGTGTATTTCCAGCCTCCAGGAATTGAATAGAAGTTCCTTGAAGTAACTGTTCTACTTTCTTTCGATATATTTGGTGGGCCTACATTTTGTTGTCCCAGGTGATGATTAGAGTATATTCAATGTTTGTTCAGTTGTTATTCATTTTTTTCCTGGGATTATGGCATATGCCAAGGAAGATTGAAATCTGTAGAACAATTTGAATTGTTCATTATGAACCTTCTCCAAGCATGTAAAAATTTATTTACATTGTAAAGTAGTTGCATATTTCAATATACTGAGGGCAGCTGACTATTGACCCACTCATTTTCTCCTTATTATCCCTGAATATTCCTGTGATCCAATGAAGAAAACAAATTCCTGAATCATCACTATCTAATCAAAGGTGCCAAACAGTTTTATCCTTTGCAATCATGCAAACGTTGACGTCAGTTTCATCTTATGGTGGAAAATGTGTAAGATAAGCCACTCTGTGTCTATGTGTGTCTGGCTACAAGTTTGCTATCATTGGTATCCAACACTACTCTGTTATTTTTGCCATGTTATATTTTATGACTATATTTTGGTTTAGAATGAAAGGAAGGTGTAGTAATATTAATTGTATCTGGAAAGTCATGCCTTTGCAAGTTCACAGGTTATAATGGTGACAAAACAAGAAGGCACCAGGCATTAATGCACCTTTCCTGAATCATTTTGTTTGAGTTAGAGCTGTGTCTGAAATTCGAAAATTTTCTTATAAATCAGAAATGCAGAAGAGAAGCTTATAAAATTTAATTTCAAGTGACACAAGGTATAGAAGTGTACTAACACTTAAAATGCCAGTATATTCTATGAAATAGTTGGTGTACATCTTTCTAAGTCACTGATTGATTTGTTAAAATGAAAATTGTTATTTTCAGTGAAGGTTGACAAAGACCACCACACTATATGTGTGGATGAAGTCTTGGAGGTGAGTATTCTCACATTTCTCAAGTTTGACATATTAATCACTGCTAGATTTCATAATGCTTCAGATCTTAATCAGATGAAAATATTATTTCCAGCATGTTGGTGTGGATGAATTGAGGGAAGCCCTACCAGAGAGGCAGCCAAGATACATCGTTTACAGTTATCGACTTGAGCATGATGATGGACGGATATCATTCCCCATGGTTTTCATATTCTCCACCCCGCGTGGTATGCTCTACCTTCAAAATTCTGGTTTACTGAGAGGATTATATTTTGCCATGTAGGTAGCTTTGATTGAGTGTTGCTTATAATTTTGCATGCAGATTGCAAGCCTGAGCTACAGATGATGTATGCTGGGACAAAGCTGGCTTTGGTAAAGGAAGCAGAGTTGACAAAAGTCTTTGAGATACGGGAGCTGGAAGAGCTTACAGAGGACTGGCTACAGGAGAAGCTGAAAAGATAAACTTGATGAGCTTCCAGTCATACCTGCCACCAACTGTTATCGCACAAGACCATGGCATCCTACCAAAGTTCATTGCAACTTAAAAAGACTGGATTTTTTATATCATAGTTAGGATTTATTGCATGCTATTGCTTATTTTATGTGTCTGAGTACTGATGCATTCCTTTAATTTTAATCATAATGCAATGCTCTTCTCCCTGTAGTGCATTGGTATACAGCCAAAAGTGAAAGGAAAAAACTTGGCTATGTCATAGTGCTACTGGTAAATTTGGAATTATTTGCATAGCCAAAGAAAATGAGAATTCCCTGAAGGAAAACCTCAATCCTGCTATTTAAAAAATAAGCATTATTTGCTTCAGGACTTTATAGGAATCATAAGGTGGAATGGTGATGAAAATGGCAGAATACTTTTTTTGAGGAATGAGGAAAGTTCTGTGCATGTGATTTTTTTTTAAATCAGGGTTTCCTGCAGATGTTGAAGCAGGCAAGGTTGAATGAAGCAAAAAACTTGTAGGGAGACACGAAATGGGAGGGGGCAAGTGCTGTCAATCCTTTATGTCATGAATTCTATTGTCTGTTTTTTTTTTTGAGACTTCAAGATGCATGAAAATGTTTCTTGTATCACTCACTGTACCAATGAGTCTCTAATTTCAATGCTTTTTCCATGACAATATCACCTGTAATTAGAAATTAATCAGTTCTCATTGGATGTAGAATCCTTGGGTGGATCTCTTCAGGACCACCTTATGGATGAGGTTTTTTGTGAAACTTACAGAAAGTTATTAATAACCATTGCCATCCTCTGTGCCTAATTGAGCATGGCTTGAGTAAAAGGGTTAAGTAGGAGGCATTGACCCTGCTTGACTTTTTAGAAATGCTGTGATGAATTCAGACTGATTTCCCTCCCAAATGACTCAGATATCAGACAGCAGTCAGCTGATGGTAATGTGCAGTTGCCAATAGGAAGCTCTCTATAGAGTATCCTTTTTCTAAAGGAAAATCTTGTCTTTGCCCTCCTTCCATTCATGGACTGCATGGACTCAGGGATGTCAGAGCAATGTTCCTGCCATACATTTTTTCTGTGCCCCTCCTGTAGTACAAGTGGACTTCTGAAGCATATTAGTGCATGTATTCCTAGCTGACCCTGTTAGTCTTAATGTTATTTGGTTGCCATGGTTACCTCTGAGCATACAATGCTTGGGTGGATCCCCTTCTCCAGGACATGTGCCTGTTGAATGATTTATGAGGTCATGGCAGTTCTCATTTTGACTGATGTGAAAACCAATTATTCAGGTCACTCATTGCAGAATTGAGAGGACATTATATGAATTAAATTTTTCCTAGAAAATAGATTGCATTTATACCTCTGTTGATCAATGCTGTATCCTAAAATAGCCACTAATTGATAAACTGCTGAGAAATCTGTAATGTGTGATTACCTTTTGCCTGTTGGAATAATTTTTGGGAAATTAGGGAAGTAAACAAGATTTCTCTTGGTGGCTGGTTTTTGACACATGCAGCTTACTGCCACCATATGGTCACCTGTTAAGGCTCAAGTCATGTACAGTTTTTTGTTGAAATTTTCAGAGCTTTCCTCATTTCCCAGTGAGATATTATTCTCATAGTCTTATATTTTTGCCATGCATAGTCAATAGCAGTGTTACATTCAAGTGGATTAAACAGGTTTTCCTCTGTGCTTGACAATCTAGCTGCAAATTTATGTTCCTTGATGCAACTCCATTGTAAATTCTCTTTGAAAGATGTTGTGCCTGAACATTTACAGAAAATAAAGATACCTTGGTGTCTCTTTTTCAAATGATCACATGGATATGAAACCTAGGAATGCATTGACAGCTTGTAGTAAGGGTTCCTCAATATTGCAGGGTATTGGCATTCATCATTTTGTGCTGTATTGCATCAAGAGCATTTCTGGAATGACAAGGTGCTTATTTAAAACCAAAGATCAATGTTGGGTTGAGATAGGAATTTGTCTTGAGTTCTGTCATCAGGTTTGGCATGCTGCTCGTGGATTGTGGATTGTTCATGGCTTCATTCCTTCTTTGAAGATCATTTCCATTGTATCTTTCATTCCATGACAATAGAATTCCATGCTTGTACAATTTTTTCTTCATTATTTTGTCAACCTTCCAACAAGAGCTCTTCCTTTCATGATCACTGCCAAGCTGGATTATGGTGATGTGTCGATGTCCAATTTTTCCTACAGTAGCAGTGTCCAGAATTTTTGTAATCAACTATTGATGTTTTTCAGTGTGTGAAGAGGCCCATGTGGTTCTAATGAGGTCAGTGTAAAAAAGTCCCCCATTAATGACTAAATTCAATGCCTCTGCTATATGGCAGAACAGATGTCATGTTCATGCATGCCTTAAGTCAAGGACAAGTTTATATAAATTTTCACCACATACTTCAGATTGATGAGCAACTCTGCATGGGTCATGTGTATAGAATGTATTTTCAGAATAGGTAACACGATACTCTGTTTATTTGCTTTGAGAACCAGAGACTTACAGGTGTGCCTTGCCTAGTGTGCATTATATAATTCATGAAACAGCATGAATCTCAATATTCCTAAGTAGTAAATGTGTCTGAAATGCACAAGTGTTGCTGCATTGAATGAATGTATGATAATTTGCAAGCTTATGATGTTTTCAGTGCAAGGATCCTGATTTTATCTTATGTCTGGATATTATATTCTGCTGGTTTTGGAGATGTCACTGCTATCAACCATAATCGTTTTTGATGCAGTTATCTGTATCTTCTACAAAGTCCAATTTTGGTTATTTTTTAGAGCTACTTGGATATTGCATCAGCTTTCACAATGTGTAAAGTCAGATTTCACAGGGACAAGGCCAATATTATTGTAAAGTGTGATGAATTCACTTTTTTTGTAATAAAGCTTTTGTGGCATTTCAGGTCTCAGAAAGGTAATTCATTCCATCTCTGCTGTCCTGTGGGGGATGTGACTACTGTCTGAGTGGAGACTGCTTCTGAAATAACTGTAGACCATGATGCACAGCGTTTTGGTCTGTCCATGTGGTTGGACTATTTAACTAAATTTCACTAAGGCCAACTAAATCCTTACTATTAAATAGTGTAGGTTCTCACATATGCTGCCTGAAAACGCCAGTTGTTAGCAGGTTTGGTAGCTAGAAACTTTGAAATTCTAAGCATTTCCTTAGAAAAATGTATCTTATAAATGAAGCTGTTACTCACCCTTAATTTTCATGGCCATCTACTGAAGAAATAAATGGAGTGAAATTCTGCAACAATGGGCATCTCTTCCAATGAAGCATTAAAATCTCCTAACCTTTGGTTGGATCAAATGAAACGAAGCCTAGATGGCAGATATACAGGGTTTTTCAAAAGTCATGCAACCCATCATGTACGTTTTCTGAGCAACTTAAATGGAGTTGAATTAATCAAAACTGGCACAATATAGAAGGAACACATCTTACCTATGAAAAAAAGTGTAATAGCAAGTTTTGGAAGTGACCATCACGTTCCTGCAAGCACATTACAGCACACTTACGCATGTTCACATTCAACATAGTGTAAGGTCGCATGAGTATTGTGGGCAATGGCCTGTGCAATGTTATGCTTCAACGTTTCCAAGTCTCTGGGATTGTTAGCGTATACTCTTTCGTTAAGGTATCCCTACAGAAAATAGTGAGGTCTGGAGACCAGAGATTCTTGCTTGTGAGCGGTTGCTCTGTCTTGTTAAAAGTACAAATCACGTTCGTCAATTTCTATCGATACGTTGCTGAATGATGTGTTGATTATGTTCAGCATTCCAAATTCTGTGAAAAACACGGGACCAACAATTCGTCATGCAAGAGATTATGTGTATATATTCCAACAGAAACATGCAATGGCACTTGTTTATATATAGGGTTGCGCAACTTTAGAAAGACCCTGTATAAGGTGCAAAAAAGGACAACATCCTTACATCCCATAAATTCACCTCTTGTTACAGCATTGTTTCACATTTATGTCTGTTAAGCACTTCTTTTTAAAGGTTTTTTGCTCTGGTTTATCTGGTCAGTGCATTTCCTTGACTGGCCTAGACTTTTTAGTGGGAAAAGGGCAATTGTTTGAACATAAGAATATTTGGGGTTGCATTTTGAAAGGTTTTGAAAAATCCAACCAGGGTCATCCATTCATATGTAACAAACATGACCTCTTGGATGACTAACACCTCAAGTGGAGAATTTTTCTACCTCTGCCACCCAGTGGGGAAGATTGATGCATAAAGGTAATCTCCCAATTTAAGGGATTACATACCTCCACGAGGGAGGAACATAAGCCTCAGCTGAATAGTTCAGTGTTGGAACTTATGAGCACGAAAGTCTATCAAGTGGTATCTCCTTTTCTCTTCAGAGTGTGGGGGGAGATAAAAGTAATTAGCATTTATCTCTTTCCTCTTATTTCTACATGCTGACAGTCATAATGTCTAAACAAGGGGGCTAGAAGAGAAGAGAGAGAAGTTAAGAACAAACATTTTCATTAATCCTAGGTCTACTGTCAGATATGTGACACAATAAATGAAATATCTAAATCTATGGTTTGATATGCTATTGCAAAATCTCTTCTCTGGTCAGTTTTTCAGATTTTCTGATTGCAATTGTATTCAATGTTGCTGCCAAAAGCATTGCATACCATTTAGGTCACCATAACTGATCGTCATGGGAGAGTCATTGGAAGTATGGGTGTCTGATAAGCTCTATGACATATTGGGGCTGAGTGACAAGTATGTGCCCCAGTTCCTCATCAGCCTTGCCTCCAAGAGTTCATCACCCTCAGATTTGGTGGAGAAAATTAGAAAAACTGATACCATTGAAGTTGGAGACAAAATAATTGCCTTTGCTGGAGAGCTTTGGGAACGAGTAAGTGGACCTAGCTGTTGATGAAGGCAGTTTTATCTGGTAGTCTCTATTGCTTTGCAATGTAAATCATAAAGGGGCAAAATGCCTCTTGGATAAAACTTTTGAAGTGCAAAACTTTAAGCTGTAGTGTCCCTGTTAGGCACATAATGAAGTGTGTTATGCACTCAATGAACTGCATCTGATTGGGAGTTTATACATATAGTTTATGCATGGAGCTTGTTGAGAGTTTCAAAATGGTGGCCACTGATATCTTCAGTGATTTTTAGCTTTAAAAATGTAAGATATGAGCCTCTTAAATGTTTTCTTTTATTTTGCAATATGGATTTTCTCAGATGGAGCCCATTTGATTTTTCGTGGTAGCTTAATGAAGTGGTGCTTTTTTCTCCAGGTGCCTCATGCATCACAGACTCGAATTGCCACAAACACCAAGGATAGGGAAAAGGCTATTGTTGAGATGATAGAGAGGAATAAACAGTACAAACTCCTGTCTGACAGTGAAGAAGAGATGCCTGCTCCATCTACGTCAGCCATCAAGTGATTACATACTTTTGTTTTGAATCCATAGATGCCCTGAAGTGGGATGAACCTTAAAGTCAGCATTTAACTCAATGTCCTTCTCTTTAGAAAGGAGGAGAAGAAGAAAAAATCAAGAAAGCGAAAAAAGGAGTCATCGTCTGAAGAGGACTCGTCAGAAGAAGAGAGAATGAAGGATCTGAAAAAGAGAGATGAATTTGCGGAGCGGATGCGGGAAAAGGACAAGAGCCGCACTCGCAATCTTGCTGAGAAGTCTGGTCAGTTCATAATCTTTGAAGCAGTCTTTCTTGCTCCTGATCTTTCATCCCTACCCAGGAACTGAAAAGCTGAAAATGCCAGATTAGCTTCCAGATACCAGGAGTAGGAAAAAGAGGCTGAACTGTGCATGAGGTTCTTACCTCTGGTAGGGAGGAAGGAACAATATTCTGACCAGGAGCCCTCCTACACCTCACTGTCTGCTGCACTAGAATAGGTTTCATGAGTTTTTTGGACTTTTTTCCGATCTCTTTGCAGATATGTATGTAAATTCACAGCATTTTGATTGAATCATATGGAATGCTGGAAGGCTAAGTGGTCTGTCTGCAAAAATTTATTTCCTTGAGTTCCATGCAGAAAGAATATAGTCCAGTGACTGTCTTGTTAGAAGTGAGGAAGAGTGGTTTGTATTGATAGATAAGTTCACCTTTTCTGTAATTCCGAAAAACTATTATTTTCTATGAAAGGAACAAGGTACTATGAGCACTAAACCAACTCTACTTTTTTGCAGAAAAACCATATCACCTTTTAGCCCTTCATTTATAAAATGCCAAATAAGAGTAGTTACCTAGGTGGGACTCTTGGAACCCTGCCCTGGCCACAAATGTGTGAAAAAGCCAGGTCAGAATTGGGTTAAGCGCTTCTTCAGGTCTTCTTTTGCAAAGATTCTGTATTTAATCATTCCTTTGCATTTTTTCTGAGAGGTCATCCTTAACTTGAAATTTAGACAATGCTACTTCCCTGAGTAGAAGAGTATCTATATGGTATGTTGGGAAGTTTCATTGTCACTGATTATTTGACTCTCAAACAAATAAGACTCCTACTGTAATATTCAAGTTTTCCATATAGAGACATCTACAGCAAAATCTCAAGCTCCATTTGAAGAAGTGGGAAAAGGCGGAAGAAAGCCTGGGTTCTTCTCAGAATTTTTAGTTTAGATTATTTGTAAATTCCATGAATATTCAGGTCCTGAGTCCAATTCAGGAGGACAAGCCTCTTGAGATGAAGCATTTTGCTTCTCATGTCCCAAATTCAGAAAATAGCAAAAAAGGACAGGCCCATTGAGCTACATCGTTAGCAGTGGGAAGCATTCATAATTCTTTCAGTGGTTGTCTGGGGATAGGGGCCCCGTAAGAGTGGTTTTCTCTCGAACAGAAATATGGGAAGTTTTTTACACTTGTATTATAACTCATGGTCATGGGTTTTTGTGGAAACAAGAGTGAAATGCACATGTTCATTAAGTTATGCGATATGTTTCTGAGGTCTGTTGCTAGCTGTCAGAAACTGTTGGTTGCCTGAATGAGGATAAGCTTGAGTGGTGATTCATCATCTGAATCAATATATTCATAGCAGTTACTTGCTTTTTGATGTGATGTTCTCAGATGATTTTTCTCTAGCATCTTTTCCACAGTACTTCAATGGCTGTTTCAGTTCCTACAATAGACATTAAAAGATAATCGATCTTCATTTCCCAGATAAGAGGGGCTATGCAGAAGCAGCTAAAAGGCTTCAAGTAGAAGCAGAAGACAGGGCCAAAATGGTTCCAAAACTGAGAGTGGAATCACGCAGGGTGTATCTCCAAAAGAGGAAAGAAGACAAACTGCTGGAATTGGAGGCAGATATTGCAGACGAGGAGTACCTTTTTGACGAAGCAGTGTGAGTGAAATGAGAATATCTGAGTCAAGCCTGTGGTTAGCCTCTTGTACATTGCTATAAATCCTTAACCAATAGCAACAATTTTTTTAAAGGATTTTTTGTTTCTGCATTGCTAGGATTCATTGTGCTATATAAAGATGAGCAGAGGAATTCTTTCATAATAACATTTTATGGATATTATGAAAATTTAAAATGAATAGGTTTTTTTGAAAGGGCACCTGATTTTTTGTCCTTTTGGCTGCCCTGGGTCCATGCTAGCTCATATCTATGCATTGAGTCTGTGAGATCCACTGTCACTGCAGGGCAACAAATAGTTTTGATGTCAACAAGTCAACTAATGATGTTGACAAAGGTGAAATTCATTTTGAAGAAGAGGTTAGAGGGAAATATTTTGTCTTATTCTCAGGCAGGGTTTTTACTGCTAACTACTTTGCATACAGGGCATGTAGAAAGTCATGATTGTCCATCCCAGATTTCTTACAGCAATTTAAAAAAATAACCACATTACTTGAGAAAGCATATTTTTAACAGAAACATGTGAAATGCACCCCATATGCAAAGTGTTAATGCAACTGCACATAAAGAGCAGATCATCTTAATGAGGGAGAAGAAGGGAGAAATCAAAAGATCTGGCAGTGTGACTAAGTCAGGGTACGAATCAGGGTAATGCAAGGAATCCTGAGGAGCTCCTGAAAATTTTTATTTCTATTGGTTTCTTACTAACTTCTGCAGAAGGTCCAACCTTTTCCCTTCACACCTGGAGATTTTTAAGAAAGGAAAATTAAGAGTAACAAGGGCAGCTCCAAACAGATTTTGCCATCTACATTTATTTCAAAAGTTGAAGTTTTACAATGCTGACTTGAACTCCTATGTTCATCGGAAATGGGATGAAGCTAAAAAGACTTGCTCCAAATTGTCAAATGTTTCAAATGTTTTGTTGTGAATGTAAGGTGAAGCTTTCTGGCTCTTATCATTAATTTTTTTATTACTACTGAGATAATCATGAATACATTCATTGCACTTGAAGTCTGCCTGAATTCCTGCATTACTTCTAATGAGCCCCCATCCCTCCCAACTTTCTTCATTCAGTTTGACTGAGAAGGAGAAGGCAGAGCGAGCATACAAAAAGAAAGTCCTGCATCTTGCAAGAGAGCATGAAAATGCCCGAAAAATGGAACTGGAATGGAGGTATCACATGCCAGAAGAACTTAAGGGAGGCAAGGTATGTTTCCCAGTCCATTTTGAAGTGAAAAACTTCCCTTCTGCTTACTTTTTCCCCCTAGTGCTTTGTACTCATTGAATCTGCAGGTTGATGATACATATGTTGAAGTGGATGAAAAGGAAAAGGTACCACATGCAGAACAGCGGAAATGGGAGGAGGAGAAGCTAAGCTCTGCCACAATGAAATTTGGTGCCAAAGATGCTGAACAGAAGCACAGGGAGAAGTCAAAGAAGTACGACTATGTACTTGATGACGAGATTGAGTTTGTTCAGGTCTTTCAAATGCCTGGAACAAAGGAGGAATCAGAAGTAAGGAAAGATCATTACTGCTCTCTACATGGTTTCTGCAACCATCTCAAATTTCTTTGAAACCTTTATTTAATTGTGTTTCTCTGAGTATTTTGTTTTAATTGTCATCAGGAGACAGAAGAACAGAGAAGGAAAAAAGAAATTAAGAAGCAGAAGCAGAGTCTTGAAGAAACCCGAAAATCGCTACCCATTTATCCCTTCAGGGAAGACCTCCTGGCAGCCATTGAGGAACACCAGGTAGGAACAGATCTCACAATGCAGTACTCTTGATTCATTTTGCCCCTTCCTTCATTGTTTTGATTCTGTCTGAATTCAGATCTTGATCGTGGAGGGAGAGACAGGTTCAGGAAAGACTACGCAGATCCCCCAGTACTTGCATGAGGCTGGCTATACTAAAGATGGGAAGAAGATTGGGTGCACCCAGCCTCGAAGAGTTGCTGCCATGTCAGTGGCCGCACGTGTTGCTACGGAAATGGATGTCAAGCTTGGGAACGAGGTGAAAATTTTTTTAATTAATTCACATTAACCTTTTTCGTAAGTCTGACCTTTATTTGAACTTAGAACTTTCTTCTTAGAAAAATGTTAGAAGCTGCTTGACTAAACAAAATTGCAGTCTTGAGGCATAAATGTATATGTGAGAGATGCCAAGGCTGAAATGGAAAATATATATATAAGCATCTTCAGTGAAAGAAAGAAGAAAAGGTCATTGCATTTGCTCTACAGGTTGGGTACAGCATTCGATTTGAGGATTGCACTTCTGAACGAACCCTTCTCAAGTATATGACTGATGGTATGCTCCTCAGAGAGTTTCTCTCAGAGCCTGATCTCGCTGGTTACAGGTGAGGACCGTTTGGAGACAGTTTTCATATAGACATCAGGAGTTTTGTTGAAATCATTTTATATCTGATTGCTTTTCCAATTTGAAAGTGTGCTGATTGTCGATGAGGCACATGAGCGAACCCTGCACACAGATGTCCTGTTTGGCCTTGTCAAAGACATTGCCAGGTTCAGAGATGATTTGAAGCTCCTGGTATCAAGTGCCACACTTGATGCAGAAAAATTCTCTTCCTTCTTTGATGATGCTCCCATCTTTCGCATTCCAGGTAAGCTTGACCACCAGCATGAGTTTACTAGTAATTGATTTTAAGTTTCAAGTTTAGCAAGAAATGGTGCTTCATGATTTTGACAAATGCTGACATCTGTACTGTGTGCAGGTCGACGGTTTCCCGTGGACATCTTCTACACAAAAGCTCCAGAGGCCAACTACATGGAAGCTGTGGCCGTCACAGTGCTCCAGATTCATGTCACCCAACCATTACCCGGTGACGTTCTGGTTTTCCTCACAGGTCAGGAAGAAATTGAGACCACCATGGAAATCCTCCAAGAAAGAACGAGGAAGCTTGGTTCACGCATCAGGGAGCTCATCATCCTCCCTATTTATGCCAACCTTCCATCAGACCTACAGGCCAAAATATTTGATCCGACCCCACCTGGTGCACGCAAGGTATCCCTCGATGTGTGATGCTTTTGAGTGGTGTGTTCAATGTTCATAAGCTGACTGCTGAGACTGTAAGTGATTTCTTCTTTCCTTAGGTGGTGCTGGCTACAAACATAGCTGAAACTTCCCTCACTATTGACAATATAATCTATGTGATAGACCCTGGATTCTGCAAGCAGAATAGTTTTAATGCACGGACTGGCATGGAGTCTCTAGTTGTCGTTCCCATTTCAAAAGTGAGTGCCAAATCTCATTTATCCCCAACTTCATACATTTCCATATTGCTGGTTATTCAGCTTTGGATTCTCTATTGGGATTATTTAAAGAGACATCATGGATTGTGTCACTTATGCAAATTTGTTTAAATCTTGTCATTTACTTTAATTATGACTCAAAAATCATATATGACTTTGTCAAACCATATTTAAGAGAAATTCATAATGCCATGTCATTTCTCTCAGTTGTGAGCAGGTACATCCTGAAGATGATGATTTTTCAACAAACTTGAAATTATGTGGGGGTAATTAAACTGTGTAAATTCTTTCTTGTTTTCATGTCTGTTATGATTTAAAAACCATATTTATTGATTATTTTTTGGGCTAGATAAGTTCTTGCATGAAGAAAAAATTCAGACTCATTTACTTCTTTGAAGGGCTTTCAAATTGTAAAATTTTATGGACGATCTGTTAATTTATTGCATGTTTTTTCTACAATCCTGCATCCCTGGAATGAAGCATTACAAGATGTGGTGGGTCTATGGATGAAGGTTGCCCTTTTCTGTTAAAGAATGTCTCTTTTTCACTCCAGCCTCTTTTGCCTATCAATTTGAAAAAGCCTCCTTTGACTTCTCTCACTTGTCATCATGATCATGAATTGGCAGTTAATGTTAGCTAACCCAGGGCAAAATCAGGGAAACATAGTTCCATATTGTAGATGCTGCAATATTGTGTGAAATGAATAAGTTGTGAATGCTCTTAACAGGCATCAGCAAATCAGCGAGCAGGGAGAGCTGGTCGTGTGGCTGCAGGAAAATGCTTCCGCCTGTACACAGCTTGGGCATACAAGAACGAGTTGGAGGACAACACTGTCCCCGAAATCCAGAGGGTGAACTTGGGAAATGTAGTCCTCCTCCTCAAATCCTTGGGGATCCAGGATCTCCTGCACTTTGACTTTTTGGATAAGCCTCCTCATGAGTCATTGGTGGGTTCAGGATTCATCACTGCCCCCCCCCCCCATCAGAATTAATTAATTCATCTCACATCATGAAACCATATTTAATATTTTCATTGCAGATTCTTGCTTTAGAGCAACTTTATGCTCTTGGTGCCCTGAATCACAAGGGAGAGCTTACTCTACTTGGCAGAAAGATGGCAGAGTTTCCTGTGGATCCCCTGATGGGCAAAATGTTGATTTTTTCTGAAAAGTATGTCAACTTTGGACCTCTTCTTTGAGGCTATATATTGTTTCTTTGTGATTTGTCAACTGTTGATGCATTTTCACTGGCAAACGAAGAGATGTACCTAAACTCTGGATTGCTTTGTTTCCCTCCCATTTTCATAGGTACAAGTGCTCTGAAGAGATCTTGACAATTGCATCCATGCTGAGTGTGACAGGAGCTGTCTTCTATAGGCCCAAGGACAAGATTATACATGCTGACACTGCTAGGAAGAATTTCTTCCTTCCAGGAGGAGATCATATCATGCTCCTCAATGTCTACAATCAGTGGGCTGAGACAGATTTCTCAACCCAGTGGTGTTATGAGAACTTTGTGCAAGTGCGGTAAGTTAAACAGATCCTCCTTTCTATGATTCATGAATGCTTAACAACAGGGATTACTTTTCCTGCTCTATTTTCTCCATAAGACCTATGAGAAATTAATGACAGGACTAAGTTGGTATCAAATGAGAGCTCAGGTTCTGCACTTTATAAATTTTATTCCAGTTTCCTCTCTCATTAATGTCATGAAGCACCTTAAGCCTTTATAGAGTACTGGGATAATAGTGCTTCATCTCCCTCTCTCTTACAGTTTTTGGGTGGTTACTGGCATACTTAGATACCAACTTATTCCTCATTGCTGACATACTGGGAGTAACAGTAGGCAAGGGAAGGACATCTAGGGGTAATTTAAGCAATTTGGAAGTCCTTAAACATTATCCCATATTGCACTATAAACAGCTTATAATCCTAATTTCTTCTTCCAGAGTATAGGCAGAGTTTTGCCCTATAAAGGGTTAAGGGATTGCATGAATAACTGAAGCTGATCATAGAGATTTGTAGTCTTGGTGGTTAGGCATTTAGATTTTGAACTTCAGGTGCTTGGGACTGTCATGTGTAAATTGCAGAAAGTAATAATGTTATGGGGAGAAAATGCCTGTTAGGTGAAGACAAACTTCAAAAAGTTGGGTGGATTTTATGAGAACTTTTAAATAGTGGGATTCTCAAGTGTGACAATACTTTCTTTCAGGTCAATGAAGAGGGCTCGTGATGTGCGAGAGCAGCTGGAGAGCCTCATGCAGCGAGCTGAGATCGAACTTCACTCAAATCCTCTTGACTCCATTGCCATTCGCAAGGTATTACAGAGATCTAGGGGCCTATAATCATTGTACATTCTTTCCACCACTTGATAAATATTTAAATGTCCACTCACATGCAAGACCTCATTTCTTCCCCCCCCCAAAAAAAAGAAAACCTTCCTGTAAGCACAGCCCAAGATATGACTTCTTGATCTCATTTCTTCTTACCTCTGTTCATCCTCCCATGCCTGAAATATCTCAGTATACTCCAAACATCTGTTGACACCTTCCTATTACTTACCGTTACTATTGACTCTTTTGTTCATGTTCATGCTACTCAGACACCCTGACTCTTTACAAATGTTACTGAATGTCCAAAAAGATTACATGAAAGTTTTAATCATAAATAAGGGTTATGGTGGAAAAAACTTACAATCAACAATTATTATGTCATTTCAAGAAAATGAAAGTCTTGTGGCTCCAGCCATGTAACCATATAAAGAGTTCTGGACCATATTGTACAAGCACCCATTTGGATCAAAGTTGAGATATTACTACAGACTTTAGTATATTTCATATTTCTTATGTGATTAAGAAACAGTAAAAAAAATGGCTGAATGAGTAGTCCTCAATCTTCCATCCTGCCAATGCAGGATGCCGATACAGTGAGGATCAGTCATGCATCCTTGAAACCAATCACCATTGTTTTTATGCCTTGCTCAATCATTTGGGGTGGTGGGAAATCTTCAGACCTCATGAGGATGCATACATCTTTTTGAGAACTGATATTTTCTCCAGTCAGTTATGCTGTCAATTTGACAGAATATGTCCATAAATAGTCCATCTATAGCATCAGTCTTGCAATTTTGCTTATAAAACTTCATGTAGATCCATTAAAATATCACAGGCTTTTGCTTGCTTGAAGGTTGTTGCATCTTTACACCACCCCCTTCACCTCTATTTCCAAGAACTGATTTTCTGATAATAATAGAACATATAATTTAAATTCATGAATCAGGGTGAATTTTTACTTGTGATTAAGATAGATCCAAGTGGCCATTATAAGATAACTTCAGTTTCTTTGTGTGCATTTTTCTTGCTAGTTTCCCCAAAGTCAATGATGCCAGGCACCTTGACAAACCTCCTTCCCTGCTCTTTTTTCCTACCTTTTCATGAGATTCATAATTCCCACCCAGCCATTGGAGTGGAAGGCTCAAAGTATCATTATAGAAGAATGCCAGGCTATGGGAAGAGTCAAGTTTCATTCCATTTTCAGCCTATGGATAATCTTTCTTTGGCACTGATTGAAGTGTACACTTGTCTGAATCTGGACCAACTTGATATCCTCTTCCTCCCATTCAGACAAAAATTATTATGGGAAATTTCTACTTGGGGATTGTGGGATAGGCTTCAGAGTTTCTATGAACTTAGAAGTGTCTGGATTTTTTATACAAATTGTGTCAGAATTTTGAGATTTTAATTTCTTTGGCCTGTCTTTTCCCTTTGCAGGCCATCACTGCTGGATACTTCTATCATACAGCTCGCTTGAGCAAAAGTGGAAATTACAAGACAGTGAAGCATAATCAGACAGTGCTGATACACCCAAGCAGCAGCCTCTTTGAAGAAATCCCTCGCTGGGTTCTCTACCACGAACTGGTCTTCACCACCAAAGAATACATGCGACAGGTAAGGGGACGGTCTCGATGGTTGCTTACGTGCCTTATAGTTGTGTCAGATCGATGCAGAATAGAGTCAACTTAAATTTATTACATTTCTTCACAGGTTTCTATGAGAAACCTGTTAACATTGGTAATTTTCTATTCAGCACATTTTGAAGTGAAGTGAAACTGACTTAAATTGATCTGTTACATGTCACCTATCCAATCTAGTACCTTTAGCTAACATATTTTACAATTGGGCATTATTTGTAGTGAAGGTGTGAATTTTCTTTAAGAATAGCTGAGTCCAATCTCAAATGAATTTTAATTTTAATTTTACCTAGGTGATAGAAATAGAGAATAGCTGGCTCTTGGAAGTGGCACCGCACTACTACAAGGCTAAGGATCTCCAGGAAGAGGCAGTGAAGAAAATGCCTCGGGGGAAAGGCAAAGCCAAGAACGAACTTGGAGAATGATCTCTTCCTTCTCCAATTTAGAGATGTTATTTTTTTTTTAAATAAAATTTTAATTCTACCAATGTCCTGAGATTTCTTTTGTCTATTTCCACTAAACTGTCCAGTATGTAGTAGGTCTGTTGTTCAGACTGCATGGACTGGGGAGACTACAAGACACAGAATCAGATCGTTTTATGGATTGGTTCCACTTTAAGATGCATAGTTCCCATCTACAATTGCGACGCCTGCCAGGAAGAGTTTACTGCACAAACCCGTCAGTTCATGGAGAAGAACAGACTTCTAGAAATGGCTCCTGTCCATTTTTTTTATCGCAGCGGAATATCTACAGAGTGCCTTCGAACTGTGATTTGGTTAGGTGATGAAGGATTACCTTTCTCAAGAATTAAACGGATGCTCAAGAGACGCTATCAAGCATGGAAGAGAAAACAGTACCTACAGTACTTGGAGGCATGTGAAGTTTGTGTCAGTTATCAGGAAGAAAGTACCTTGGTGTTTTATACCAAGCATTGACTCCCATTTGTACTCCTTCTGCATTCTTCCTGAACAACGCCTATATATCTGTGAAATGCAGACAGATGTGGGGAAATCGGAATTTAAACACTTCTCTCCAAGTAATACACATTTTTTGCTCAACCTTTTGTACTTGAGGCAGGTATGAAAGCAATCATTATAGGGAGATTCAGTTTGCAGTTCCAGTAAAGTCATATTTCAGTGACAGCTATACTTTCTAAACGAGGCTAATGTTTTGGTCAAAATTGGTGCTGGTTTTGTTTGTTTTTTTTTTTTTTGCCCGTGGCTCTCCTTGGTCTCCGAGTTTTATTTTGAAGTGGTTTTCTCCTCCAATCTGTCGCAACGATCACGTATAACTTTCACCGCTTGTGTCCGTTCGGGACACTTTCTTGACGGGCGATTTCCCTCTTGGATCAACTTTGCAACGATTTCCGTAAAAAAAAAAGAAAAAAAAAAGTTACATCTATTGCATGAAAGTGAGTAAAGTTTAAGTTTGGAAAAATAGGTGGACTTAAAAATGAGAGGTCTGCATAGCCTACCTTTGGAGAACTCCCAGATACGCTCGAGACGTCTGGTGGTTGTCAGGAGAACCACCACGTGAGTCGTTCTCGAAGCACTGTGTGGCGAGTTCGTTAGAAATCGATATAGTTCAGCCTCGTTGGTGGTCGTGCATGAAGGTTTGAATGGGACGGAAGGTCACGTGGAGCCTGGGTGTCCCATCGGTGGGAAAAGCAATTGGGGATTCTGGTAGAAGTTGGCCCCACTCAACGGCGGAATCGGAGATAATTCGGCCTCTCCGGGCCCTACTGCATACCGAGGGATAAGGGAGTTCATCGATCTCGCCCCACGCACCCAAGCCTTTAAAGGTGTCTCCAGAAACCCTGTCAGGTGATCGAGATCAACAACTTAAGACGAAACCGACAACGACGATGCTACCGCTCTCGGGCGAAAGACGAGGACGGGAGCGCAGAGTCCAAAGGCACGGTCATGCTAGAAATCACACTGCATTACATTCCCCATGTAACTTCTCACCACCTGAGCTCATCCCCCATCTCAGAAACTAAGGAGTACGACCACTGGCGAAACCCCACTCAAATCCCATTCATCGACAGACTCGCAATACAGATGTCATTGTCGATCCTCCACCGAAAGAGAGGCCGTCCGTGAATTCCTCCACGGCCGAGCAGCGGACTCGACGCGTCGCGCATATCCATCGAGGGACTCCCAAGGGTCGAATCCCCGGCTGAGTCGAATCTCGATTCCCCTGTCAAAGAAGCGTGTCTGACGGAAGTGTTTTTGAGTGTGGGACACCAGATGTCTCTGTAACCTTTAGATCTCCTCCCCCCCCCCCTCCCTTTCCCACTTCTCAATGTCGCCTCTAGTTACACTGTCAACTCTCCGCTCGTGTTTCACTCGTAACAGATGTAATATGGGATAGTTCCACCCGATCTCGACGAGCTAGAAAACCGTTTTGTTTGACCTCTCAGGGCAAAAAAAAAAAACCTTAGAATACGATTAGGTTAATGAAACGCCTCCGCAGAAACAGTCGGCTCGGGGAAATTCCGGTATCGCCCCCTCCCCTCCCCCCCCCCCCCCCCCCCCCCCCGCCCCCCCCCCCCCCCCCCCCCNCGATGCCCCCCCCCCCCCCCCCCCCCCCCCCCCCCCCCCATTGGCTACGTCCCAACTCAGCTCTTGTCAACGTAACCCCATGGGGCCTAAACAAGATAAAGAAACGAGTTGCCTTAGGGGGGGGAGGGGAATATCCAAGTTTCATAGGGCATTCCGCCACAAATTTTTGGGTCTGTACCGGGGCCGGATTAAGGAGGGAGGCAAAGGGGGCTGTTGCCCTGGGTCCCACTCTTCTAGGGGGGCCCCCCGAAGGAAATTAACGTCAAATATTTGCATGGAGTACAGGGAGGGGGGTTAGCCTCGAGAATCCACTTGCCCCGGGCTGCGTAACTTCTTAATCCGGCCCTGGTCTGTACACTTCTGGTCCCGTCTCCCGTGCCTCATCGAACTCGGCTTCAATTCAACTTTTCTCAAAGTTTGCAATTATTGTTTAATTATCGCTGCCATCCACCTAAAATATGAATATAAAAGGAAATTCGGAATGGACGAATTGTTGATCGTCTTTCCCCCCCGTAAAGCATCGCATCGTCCCCCAGGGCATCGTGAGGCCCGAAGATGGAACATACGAAGCACCGCGTTACCCAACGGCGAAATTTTGGGAAAAGGCCCCAGCCGGCCTCCCGGTCCTCGACTCGAACACGGGCATCCAGTGACATTTAAAAAAATGCAACGGATATTCGTGGATCTCTGGCATCAAGCCAGCTACGACGACGGCTCGAACGCGGCCGACGACGTCCACGAGACCGGTTTCGCCGAGGCTCCGAAGCTCCTATCGCCGCGGAAGGAGAAACCGGTCGCGAAACGGACGCGGACGAGCGAGGCGGCGCGGGACGCCCCGGACGAGAGCCTGAATTTCGTCCACGCGGACGCACGACTCGACTACATCCACATCGCCCGGTACTGGCCGAAGAGGGACCGAGGTGGAGGTGGTGGGGGAAGTGGAGGCGGTGGGGGAAGTGGAGGCGGTGGGGGAAGTGGAGGCGGTGGAGCGGGGGCTGCAGGTCGATGTCGGCAGACTCGACGGGGCCTTTGCCACCTTGGATGGTCGAGAAACCTTCCGAGTGCGAGCGAGGACGGTCTGTGTGCGTGGGTGGGGTTTCTGCAAGTGCCCGAACGGGAGGAAATGCTTCGTCGGCGCTTTTCCGAGTTCGGTCAGAATTAAAGTACCGGATATACGCACGAATCCTTGGTTTCGCGGAAACCCGAAAATTCTACCGTTTGGCTGGGGAAAATAATTTTTTCTCTCCCATTTTTGAAGGTATCCTTTAGGACAGGGGTGTCAAACATACGGCCCGCGGAGGTGATTCATCCGGCCCGCCGCCTGTTCTTGAAATTTCCGCTTGGATTGACTGTTAACAAAAATTTCGGTGAAAAAGTATGGATGCGGCCCGCAGGCATCTCCAGGATAAGGAATGCGGCCCGCCGACCGATTTGAGTTTGACACCCCTGCTTTAGGAGAACTTGCTCTCGGGATTTTTACTCAATAAATATGGGTCTCTGGTCGGGAGTCGTACCCTGTCACGTACCCTGTCACCTTCCCTGTCACCTTCCCTGTCACCTCATTCCGTTCTGCGTTTCGCCCCGAGCGACGGACGAAACGCGGTGATTTCTCGGCTCCTCCGCGAGACGTGGTCTCGACTGGCGTCGTCTCGAGCCAGTGTTGCCAAGAGTCGATTCGAATCTCGGTTCATCCATTGCAGATGTTTCCCGAGCTCGTCCACGAGCGCCTCGTTATTTTTTTTTATAATCCTGTCGCCATCGTGACCGGGAACGATCGTGTGCCGTCGCGACGGGTGATCCGAGCGACCAGACTGGACCGTATCGATTCGGTAAACAAGCGGAGCACTCCATTTCTTCTTATAGGAAAGTTGTGGTTGCGGGATCCTTGAAGCATGGTACTTGATGCGTGGTACTCGATACTTTGTACTCGATACTTGGTACTTGATACTTGGTACTTGATGCATGGTACTCGAGGCATGATACTTGAAGCATGGAACTTGGGTTCTCTCGGGAGAGACCTCGTATCATGTATCACAGGGGTGTGCAACCCTTATCGACAGTGGGCCGCATGGAAATGCGTGACTCTTGACGCGGGCCAAATAATGCAAAGGAAAAGGCTTCCCTCTTTTGTCCTCGGGGCATATGAGGGCATAAGGTCGCGCTGATATGTCGATAATCCTTACCTCCTCCCCACCTTAGGAAATTCCAACGTCCAAGAATCGCCTTCGGCATTGAGAACCTTCTTACACGGGACGTATGTATGTCGCACCCGCGTTGCCCCATTCCACCTACACCCACGATACCCAGACCACTTCCTGAATACACAGTTCCAATCCGCCTATGCATAACAGTTCCAAACTGCCTACAAGGCAAAAATTATTTGTCCCATTTTACCTACTCAAGGTCAAATTGATGTGGGCTTCGCTTCCGTAAAAAAAAAAGAAAAAAAAAAGTTACATCTATTGCATGAAAGTGAGTAAAGTTTAAGTTTGGAAAAATAGGTGGACTTAAAAATGAGAGGTCTGCATAGCCTACCTTTGGAGAACTCCCAGAATGGGACGGAAGGTCACGTGGAGCCTGGGTGTCCCATCGGTGGGAAAAGCAATTGGGGATTCTGGTAGAAGTTGGCCCCACTCAACGGCGGAATCGGAGATAATTCGGCCTCTCCGGGCCCTACTGCTTACCGAGGGATAAGGGAGTTCATCGATCTCGCCCCACGCACCCAAGCCTTTAAAGGTGTCTCCAGAAACCCTGTCAGGTGATCGAGATCAACAACTTAAGACGAAACCGACAACGACGATGCTACCGCTCTCGGGCGAAAGACGAGGACGGGAGCGCAGAGTCCAAAGGCACGGTCA